TATCGCCTTCCATCACTGTCCGGATGTCTGAGGAGCAGAATGGAGTCCCTGGCGGGCGGTATGCTGCGTAGATCCTTAGTTCCTCGCCCGCCGCCTCCATTCTTATGCCGATAGAGCGCATAGTCTGGAAGGATGGTAATTCCAGCTCTTGGTGGACGATGTCCCTCCTCACAAGAACCGCCGTCCCTCTAAAGGCGGCCCCCTGGGGGGTGACCTCGTCCCTTCTGTATAGATGGTAATTAGGCAGCTTAATATGCGTCTTTGGGTTAAGTTTTGTCTCGCCCAGCAATATAATGTGCAAATCCTGTTGCTGGGCGACTGTGCGGAGTTCATGAAGCTTCTGCTGTATTCCGCCCGGGTTCCAATAGAGGAGGCGCAGATTACTCTCCTCTGTAATGCCGGGCTAATAGATTTGCCAGCGCCTTCATAATTGCTGTTATTGGGTCAGTCCCGGCTCTGATATCGGCCAGGACTTGCGTGCCGACCTCGATGGCAATACCAACTAAACGTTGTATCGCATCTGCTGTTTCGAGGCCGGTGGCGGGTGTTCTCCTGTATGAAGGCGTTGGCAATTGTCTCGGGTGCGGATGTTCCTGGTCCTGCCCTCTTGGCTTGTGGGTAGAGCGCGCTCTAGCTGTAGAGCGGGCTCTACGTTCTGGTAGGGCCCTTTCTGGTACTCTACCCACTTCTTTGGTCGACTCCCGAGTAATCTGCGCCTTTAAGGCTACTGGTGCTGATGGTGTCGGGGTAGAGGTTACAGCCTGGGGAGGCTGCGACTTTTTCCTGCTCCTCTCCCGCCTCCTCTTCTTAGAGGGTTGCCGTTCTGTGGCAGGGTTGGCGGGAGGCTGTAGAGTCGCCCCGGTGGTTGCCCTTATCTCAGTGGGTTCCACCGTTTCTTTAGGAGTTACGGGTGGGAGTGGGGCTGATTGCCTGCCCTTCCCAGTGATGGTAGCCCACCCGTCTTGCTGGATGGTAACAGCTTTCGGGCGACTCTGGGGGAATCCTTTTAGGGTCCTCCGGGAGTAGCCCCGGTAAGGTAATCCCCTGCCTTCTCGCAGTCCTCCTCAGGACTGGGCAGCGGCGGTCGTTTGCCGTGTGGTTCTTTCCACAGTTGGCACACTTAGGTTCCTCTTCCCTACCCCTAGGGCATAGGCTCGCAATGTGCTCCCCGGCACAGCGCACACATCTCACTGGCCTGAAGCAGTTTGCGGATGCATGTCCAAAGGCCTGGCAGCGGTGGCATTGAGCCGGTCCTGCTTTCCTTTGCCAGGCCTCTATGACGACCCCTCTCATAAAGAGGAGTTCATCGATGTTATATAAATTCTGGAGCTGCTCCAGGCTCAGGTGGTCTAGTTGGGCAAAGTAGATGCAGCCAGGTCTGCCTCTACGTGGTGGAATTGCCTTGACATATTTGATAGGGAAGCCTTTTGCCCTTATGGCCTCCTCTATTGCCTTGGTGTCCGTGCCCATAGGTAGACCCCGGATGCCCACTTTGGTGGGCTTGTCCTCCTCCGGGGTATAGTAGTACCAGGACAGCGTTGGTGTTTCCTTGGTCAGCTCCACCATATAGCGCTGTACCGTACGGAATTCGTTGGCGCTTTGTGGTACGAATTGTAAGAAAACTCGTTTACTGAGCTACCACAAAACTATACGCGAAAGAGAGCCGCGCCCTCTGTGCGATTACGCCACTTAATTACATCAATTTGTACTATCACTCTCTCACGGTTTGCCCAATATCTTTATTTGTATAAGACATACATTTATACATTTTATTTATAAAGATAGCACAAAAAATATCTATACTATGATATACATTACATTTTTATATCACAAAAAACCTTTTATTTATTCAACAAAATATGCCCATTTTACAACATATGCACCAAGTTAGAATTCTTAAATATCCAACATATAAGATTGAAACAATGTTCTTCACTTGAAATTATAAATATCTTAACTAATACAATAGTTTAATTTACAATTTTTCCTATACATTTTACTATTAAAAACGCTTTTAAATTTCTTACACAAAACTATCAATATTTCACTAATCCAAAGGAATTTTTGCATGAAAATAACACAGAATTCACTTATTTTGCTCATACAGTCAATCTAGAAAGAAAGAAGAAACAAAATAGAAAATCAATTTTACATAAATTGCTGAAATTTGCAAATATTTAAATTTCTACTTATTTTGACCTAAGTTAACGTGCGGCTATGAACTCACGCTATTTGAACAACTAATTCTCACACGACTTTCAATTGTCGGCAAAAATGGCAAATTTAGCACACACGGCTGTCAACCAATACTAGGTGAACAACTGATTCTACACGACTCCCAAATTGTAGTTTCTAACTAGATTTTTATCAGTTATGATATCTCTTATCAGATAACATAGACAAATCATTTTATGAATCAAACATTGAAAACAAACATTTTGTTTTCATACAAAACGTATCAACTTATATAAGATAATACTTATGCAATTAATTTCCATTAATTCTATTTATTCACAAAGTGATCATTTCGACCGGGGAACAAATCCTGGTCTCAAACTTTACTTTAATATTCCTTTAAATTAACATTATTGGGAAAGTGATTTCAACCGGGGAACTGAACCCGGAAACATAATTTATATCTTAAAAATTCCCTATATGAATTTATTAAGAAAATATTACTAAGAAAACGACAAACTGGTCCGGCCTGGAAATCGAACCCAAGACCTTCAAACTATTAATTCGATATTTCTTTAAAATCCAACTAAGTGTATTCTTATTAGAATATTATTGCTCGATAATTTGTTTTTAGAAGCTATTCGTAATCGGTTAACTAATAAATTGAAATATTCTTATCCTCTCGTCAGTCCAAAACCTTCTAAAGGTCGCTATTAAAAAAGTACGCGTCTGTCCACAGCCTTTAGAAGGTTGCTATTTACATATAAACTTCAGGGTTGGACAGATGCGCCAAAGCGGGCTAGACGCGTCGCCAACACCGACAGTCGAGTTTATTAGGGGCTAGGATCATAAAGCGACAAAATAACAAAGGAACGTACACAGCTGTGCAGATTTTACAAATTTTTGCAACTTAAAAACATTGAGCTAATATGTACTACGTACAGTACATATTACTTTAATGCTTAAAAAGTACTTTTTATTAATTAAATGTAAACGTAATTGAGAGTGGATGTAATGTTATAGAGTGTATCATTGTATGGAAGTAGGGATGCCAGATGTCCGGTTTTCGACCGGACAATCCGGTTTCCTTTGTGCTTGTACGGTCAAAAAATTTTTGGTAAACCGGACAATAGATTTTCCGGTAATAAAATGATCCTTCATTATTTCTACCGAACAGCACTGCATTTTGTAGGACAACGACACGCCGCGCCGCTTGTTGCCGCCTCCGCTAACTATATTGAAAAGCGTACAGTATGTGTGTAGTATTCCCATATCTAATGCTTCTGTGGAACGAATCTTCAGCGTCATTGAAAATGTATGGACCGATGAAAGTAATCGTTTCGCCGTATAAACTGTAAAAAGTGAATTGTGTGTTTTCTTTAATATAAATGTTAGTTGCACTGAATTTAAGGATGCAGTCGGGTCGAGTTCTAAATATATAAAAAAGTAGAATGGCTTTAGTTTAGTAAGTTTCCGGTACACAAAGTACTTTACAAAAGTACATTTAAGTTCATTTTTTTATTTTTTTGTATTAAAGTACATCTTTTTTTGTAAGAAATAAAAACAATTAAAAACTTGTCCGGTTTTTTCTTCGAACACATCTGGCATCCCTATATGGAAGACAAGCTACTCCAACCAAAGTCGAGTCATTTTGACGCTTTAGGGGGTCTGTCGTTAAATGGAGTGATGTTACATGGAGTTTACACTGTATTTTAATTTAAATATAAAATTTGGATACTCTTTGCAAAATATCCTTTACACTCTTACATACCAATTCACCTACAAAGCATGACAACTATAACAAATATCGCTTGTATGAGGCAGTCTGTGCGGAGGCACATGTTAGCTGACCTATGATAGATTATGATGATGATGGATACTTTATATTATACGTCGTCGGTTTTCCGCGGCTCTAACTCGAAAAAGCTTGTCTCTTTTGCATCTGTATTGGATTATGATGGGTGACGGGAATCGGTTACACTTTTACTGATAACGACAAGTTTCATCCCAGTTTTTAAGACGTCTGCATTAAAATCTTAATTGTGAGTATACGTAGCTATCTCTGAGTCACAGTACTTAAAGTAAGTAAAAGTAAAGTTACAGCCTATATACGTCCCACTGCTGGGCACAGGCCTCCTCTCATTTCTGAGAGGGTTTTAGGGCAAGGAATAGTCCGCCGCGCTGCCCCAATGCGTGTTGGCGGACTTCACATGTCTTCGAAATAATTTTTTTTCTTATTTCTCAGACATGCAGGTTTCCTCACGATGTTTCCCTTCACCGACGAGCACGTGGTAAATCAGCACTTAAAATTGCAATTAACAATTTCATTGGTGCCGGCGGGGATCGAACTCGGTTTGCTCGCGTATTGTGAAATTTACAGCGAGCGCTAACCATCTGAGCTACCACGGCTCACAGTACTTACTTATCATCAATTGTATTTTGTGCGCATTTTTCTTTGCGAGGAATAAATTATATTATTCTTTACTTTTCAAAATTAAAAATAATCCATTACAGCCTTTAAAAGTCCACTGTCTAACATTGTTTATTTTGCTATAATTGCCACACTCGGCGGGTTTTTTTTTGTTATTTTGAGCTGTTATCAGGAAGATGCTGCTGCCCATCTCCTGCTTCAATTTCCTTCTCTCGCCTCATATGACACCCACGGGACGATATGGGGTAGTAGATATACTCACACTGCCACTACACGGTGGATGTGGATGTCTAGCTCTCCTGAGTATGTTCAACATTAGGGTGACATGAAATTTATAATTGTTTGTTGATATTCCGGACGTACACTAGGCCTCAAAATTTAAATTAATACTTACCATTAAAAGCATTCAAGTTGTCCGCCACACTTATCTGTCGCAGATTCGGATTCGAATTATCCATAGGATATGGTGATATGTAGGTAACCTGCACAATGGATAAATAATATAATACAAATTGCCAGTCCATAGGCTACTAAAAGTAATTTGCGCTATCGAGCCGTCAAGAATAAAAGAGGTGTTAATGATAGAAGGTAATTTCCTGGTGTATATGTCAAGTTATATTTATAATAAAATAAGATTGACAAACGAACAATACATTCAACCTGATGATAAGTGGAAGATATGGCCCATAGACACCTACTTCTATCCTCCATTAACAATCAAAACTTATATACGATGTCACCCCTGAAGGTTAAGATAGAATGTTAAAGAATTTACGGTTAAACTCACACTATGAAACGCGGCAATATTAAGCTGCTATTTTACGCTGGTATTTTATTACAGCGCAGCCCTTTCCCAATCGAGCCGAGGTGCTATAGCCATGATATTATAGCAGCAGCGTGGCTAAAAAATTAGAATATCTCAAAAAATCGAAGGCTTAGCAGAATCAATGTTTTTTTTATACGTGGTAGAGCCATGCTGCAGTTATATTAGTAGTATAGTTGTAGCACGAATGGGTCGGCTCGACCGGGGAAAGACCACGCTCTCACAGAATACTAGCGTGAAATAGTAGCTTAATGCTGCTGAATTTCGTATGGTGAGTGTAGAGAACCGGAGACCCTTTTTACTGGAAACGAGGCATTCCATCTTAGTCCTCACGGGTGGCAGCGCATCTGCATTTTGATTCGTAATCGAGGATAGATGTAGATGTCTATGGGCCACAGCAACCACTTACCATCAGGTGGACTGTGTGCTCGTTTGTCACCCTATCCTATAAAAAAAATGCCAAGTATATGGTAGAATGAAAAACTGAATAGTGTTTTTGGCGGTTAAATTCAAGAAATATTTTAAGTATCCTTAATTATAATTTAGCGCCAAATGTTGCCACGAACTATCCCACTGAACTCAAATTTTAGAAAGGAGACGGTCCGAAATTGTACGAAGCGTAGGCCTGGTTTTGTACAAGTAGGGAAATAAATTAAAATAATATATTATACCACTTTGGTCATTTAAATCCATGAATTTATTTCAGTTATATTAACATTTTATTCTTACCAAAAAAGCAACACTAATGACGAATTGACGAAGTGACGTTGTTTTGACGTTAGCTGTCAACTCTCATTAGGTTATTGATCAATTTATTGACAAATATTTGAATTCTGAGATGATGTACTATTATCACTGACTTCTATATATACAAGTACGCTGGACTGGCTATACCATACAAAATGTCTATGCCAATTTGAAGCGCCACCATTTTACATACCGGTAACAAAATTTACATAATATGCCAAAGTCTGTTGTCTTATTTAAATTGTAAAGAAATCCAAAAGAAACACAATAAATGCATTCACGAGTTCACAACTACACAAACAAACTCGGAATAAATAAAAAATATCACACTACCTACATTATTTCATGACTCAAGTCACTTGTCAGACATGATATTTGACATATAATTTTTCGACTGGAAAGGCGCCATCTTTTAAAATAATCAATAATTGAGATTTCATTTTTATTTTTAGCAAGTCATTTAGTGAGATTTATTGTCTTATTTTATTTTTAATTAAATCCCTGAATTTTTTGCTTTTCTACGGTATAGTGTACATAGACAGGGCCTGAAATGGACCGTCTCCTTAATTTTTAATTCCACTTTAACTCTTAAACTTAAACTGTTTAACGACACGTTCTGGTTATGAAAGCGATCGAGCACCTTCGCGACCACCCGCTCAAAAAGGTTCCCCGCAAATGTACCGTAATGAGAGACAAGGGTGATTCATTTCTTTATTACAGCCTTTTGAAAATTTACTAATGAACATAGGCCTTCCCATAGATTGCGTCACAGGGGAGATATTTGCCATAGTTGCCACGCATGACAGACAAGATGGTTTGGTTTTTTATTACTTTGAGTTGTTATTAGGAAATTTCCGCTGCACATCTCCTGTTTCAGTTTCCCACTGTTGGCTCTTATCATACACATGGGACGCTATTGGGGTAGCGTAATCACCATAGAATACTATCATACATACATAATAGAACGGGGGAGTGTGCAGAGCCCGCGTAGTCACTAAAATGTCACTAACACGTCAATTCACACGTATAAATGTCAACTCGAGACGTGTTTTGACGTTACAGTCGTTTCCAAATTTCGCATGCAAATTATTTAGAAAATGCCAAATTGCACGCTATTTACGAGGGCGGCACTGAAAATTTCGGAAATCAAGGAAGTGACACAACATTACTATTTAAAAATGTATTTATTGTTTTTCGAAGTATTCTCCGCGAAATTTGACACATTTTTCCATACGATGGAACCAATCATTGAAGCAACCATTCCATTCGGAAGTTGGGGTCTCCAAAATGGCCGTTTTGTAGGCGTCCACAACTTCTTCAGGTGATGAAAATCTCTATCCACGCAATTTATTCTTTATTTTAGGGAAAGTATAGAAATCATTAGGGCTTAGGTCGGGGCTGTACGGCGGATGGTCTAATAATTCTATGTTTTCTTGCTCTAAAAACTCTTTTGTTCTGTGTGCGGTGTGAGGACTCGCATTGTCGTGATGGAGGATGATGCGGCGGTTGCAGTTCTCTTTACGGAGTTCAGAAACGACCTGTGGCTAACAAATGCTAGCATACCGTTCTGCATTAACCGTTCTTTGTCCCACAAGAGGAATAGTCGTAACATGGCCGGTTTTGGAGACAAACATGGCCACCATTTTTTTTGCAACACTCCGTGAACGAACAATTTTTGTTGGCTTCACAAACTAACTCATTTTCGAACACCCAAACTCGTGACTGATTTTTTGTTTCGGGTTCGTACGCGTATATCCAGGATTCGTCATCTGATACGATGTTGTATACAGCATTTGAGGATCCTGCGTGGAATCTTTCGAGAGTTCTGACGCACCAAGTAACGCGAGCCGCTTTTTGCTCTTCACAAAGCGAATGCGTATCATGAACTTTTACATATAGAATATACTCGAAGACGTTCCCCATAACCCACCATTCGAAAGTCATATCATCGCTCTATTTCTCTTTCCATTTTCTCAACGACTAAACAAGTTTGACAAAACCTTGTGACAAGACCGAGAATCTTTTTTTAAATAAATAAATAGTATTCGATTTTTAAAACCAAGGAGTTTTCAATTAAAAAGATTTTAATATGACAGGAACAGTGGAAATATTCCATTCCCGATACTTTTAGTGCAGCCTAGTACAAATAAATATGTATTAAAATTTAAACGATTTTTTAATGATGATCTTGAACATTATTAATCAAAAGTCCAAAATGTGTAAATTTATTCAGTCTGTCAATACAGCGAATCGGGTTTGGCGACGCCAAGCCTCGTACAAAATAAAGTTGACAGCCATTCTATTGTGTATTATAGTATTCTATGGTAATCACTTACGGCGCCACTACGCGGCTAATACAAGAGTAAAATTATCAAAAGTAAATTTTATTTATCTTTTTGGAGTAGCATTAGAGGCATATGATAAATATTGTTTCATGGATGTTTAAAAGTCAATATCAAAATCAGGTCCCGTGTTCGAATCCCGAATGGTACAAGAATTTATGTATGTTGTTCTTAAGAAATTTATATATGTAAACTTCCTCCACAATGCAGAAAAAAGCGGAGATTCCTTTTATAATTTTTTTAAAAGGCGAGATAAAGCGCAATTTCACTATTTAGAAATTAATAATAAGTCTTTAGACGTCATATCTAACATTAGATCACATATGTCTAGACGCGACGCGGTGTGATAATATTTTCAAATATAGGCCCGAATTGACGGGTTTGCATACGTGACAGCTTTGTCTTACTCCTGAGCTGTCTGCCCGAGTGTGTGTGTGTAGGGATATCTATTATTTATAATACAATACAATACTCTTTACTGTACACCAAGAAAAGACAAAAAAATAAACAAATATTGACGTCAAAACAAAAGGCGGTCTTATTGTTACATAGCAATCTCTTTTAGACAGCCCAAAAGAAGAATTAAAAAAATACGACAAAAAATAGAGGATAGGGTGCACTAAAATAAGAAAAGATATCAACTTATTCACTAAAAAGACAATATTCTTCAAATAGATCAATGATCATAAATAAGAGGAAGAAGAGAGAGGGGTTAGAGAGCCAAATAATGTTAACCTGTTTAACCTGTTTCTCGAACACATTTAAGGATTGAGCACTTTTAATTGACTTATTGATACATTCAACTGTTTTGAGAAGATCTTCAATGGTTGTTTATCAGTATATTTGGAGATCGATTTACACCATCAAGTGGAGAAGATATAGGGAAGATGTGCGTGTGGTTTTTTTATACTTTTTATTTTCGTACATACAACATAACTGTTAGTGTTACTTGATCAAATGCAAAATTAATAATGCGCATGGTCTACGATTACGAATTCATTTTTTTAAATGCAGTTCATGTCATTCTCGAGATTCTCGTTATGACCGATTGTTTTTATTATCAATATCTGGGAGTCTACGTGGTAAATGGATACAAATTTTTCGTTAGAACTGAAGAAATGGTCTGTCATTTTGAAAACTCTTGTTTCTTAGACCAATTTCTTTAAAAATTATTATCTAGAAATCCAAGTGGTCTAAGAATATAAGTTTGTAGTGAATAAAGAAAAAAGAAGCCGCCATTTTGAAAATTATTGTTCATCAACCGATTCTATAGAATATATAGAAGTCTATATACTTAGTATCTATATGAACATGAAATTATTTAAGAATAAGGGCAAAGTCATCAACATTTTAAAAACTCTTGTTTTTGGACCGATTCCTTTAAAAATATCTGCGAGCCAACATATTCTGTGGATAGGAATTCCTAGTCAAAACTGAAAAAGTACCTATTTTGGAAAATCTCTTGGAAAAACTCTTTAATCGATGAGTATTTTGTAAAAGTTACACTTTTACAAAAACTCATCGATTAAAAGGTTAAAATATATATATATATATATATATATATATCCTTTTTAAATAACATTCTTCATTTCAATAAAAACGATTTAACAAAACATCAGCCAAACAATTTTTCGGAGAATTATAATTTTGACGAAAGACGTCAAAAAATAATAAAATTTATTTAAACTCAACTAATTATTTCTTTATATTACACATTACTTTTAACGCTAATATTACTATAGTAGTTTTCCTATTTTTTCTCAGTTGCCATGATTCATTATGACAAATATTAATTTTGTATTTTTAAGTACTTATTACGTGCACTCTCAACGTGATCACAATTTGCAATGAACTAAAGTGTGGCAGATACCTGACAACGTTTAGTCGGTATTTTATTTAATTTTTAGACATTATACGATCTAAATATCTTCAGTAGGTACACGGAAATGTTCAACATTTACGTTTCCTTTTATAGGATAGGGTGACAAACGAGCAAACAGTCCACCTAATGGTAAGTGGACGCTGTGGCTCGTAAACATCTACATTTATCCTCGATTGAGAATCAAAATCCCTGACGACTAAGACGGAATGCCTCGTTTCCAGTAAAAAGGCGGCCTCCGGTGCTCATCCTCCGGTCATCCATCCGGAGGAAACACAGCAGTATTAAGCTGCTATTTTACGCTAGTATTCTGTGAGAGCGTCGTCCTACCCCGGTCGAGCCGACCCATTCGTGCTACAACCATAATATAGTTGCAGCATGGGCGTGGCACATATAAAATACATAGTTCTTTAACCATACATCAATTATAAGCATATGCATACCTCATGTCCAGCGTTCAGCAGATGTCTGACGTATCCTTCTCCCAGAATGCTGTGACTTCGAGAAGGAAAAGGAAAAACTAACAGGACCTTGAACGCTTCACTTTCAAATAACATTGTGCTCAAAAAAAGCCAAAACGTAATAAATGTTCTTGCAAAACTCTTCATGTTTAATATACCTATCATATTTTTTTTTAACAAAATTACAAATTTTTACTGGTTTCACACTTATGTTACTCTAGAATTAAAGCATTTTCTTCACTAGACATAACGAAACCATAAAAAACATTACCGCTTATCAGTGTTTATCTATATTGATTGACAGAATTACGAAACGTTAGAGATAAAAATGTAATTTTTTTTTACTAGCTGTGCCCGCGACTTCGTTCGCGTGGAATCAGTACTTTTGCTATTCTAAGTGATAATGATTTATTTGTTAATTAAACTGTCGCGAAGACTTCGAAAGACACTCATCTGAATAAAAACATTCAGTTAGTCGGTCAATCAGACAAACGAATGAACGGATCCACAAACGAACCAAAAAAAACGAATAGGGCAAACTATACACTTGTGTTTTATTTTGTAAATATTATTGTGTAAATGACCGCAATAACGTAATCCCTAATTTGCTCCCGAATTTCTCTAGCCCAGTGAGCCCAGCAGTGTTACATCCCTATGCCTCAGAAGGCACGTAAAGCCGTATTACCTGTATCTAATCTCACTATATTTTTGTCGGATTACTAACTCAGACACAATGATAAATAGACAATTTTTTATATTTTGTATATAGTGATCAATAGGGGCAGATTTTTATAAAGTTCTATAATAAGTACTATTCATAATTATCATAATTTCGTTTTACGGATTTCCTCATCACCATGCAATTAAAAACCATTTTTCCGCGCAAACCATGTATCCTGGTTTTAACACTTTTTAGGTGATATATAAGGAAAATGAAAAAAAAACTAATTGCATTATTTTAATCCTAACGTATTCGTACTAATTTTAAAGTTACAATAACGCTACAAAAAGTTATATTATTTTGCCTTTAGTTACTATTTAATAAAATAATTTAAACGACAAACATCTAAGTTTAATTAATTATGCTTACAACTTACACTTTACAGAAAATTCAAAGTTTGATAAATGAGTTTTTCTATATTTCATTTGAATAGCGTAATAATTTAAATTGATAAAAATGACATTTATAAACTACTAGCTGATACCCGCTCGCTTCACTGAGCGCACGATAATAAACGATAATAATATAAATATAAAATATCAAGAATTTTTTCTATGGGACTCGTAAAATCCGTTCTTAATGAATGAGGCTAAATTGCGAGATGAGTATCTGAATTTCAATCTGAATTTCAAGCCAATCAAGTGTATAGTTTTAGGGATATCGTGATAAGTCAGTCAGACAGTGGTATTTCGCTTATAGATCCATATGAATATGAAAATTGAGACGGATTTTAACCTATAAATAACTGACTAAAATTTATCTCTATCAAAACTCTCATTATAAACAGTTAAATTAGGAGGTTTAGTAGCGCGAAAGCACTATAAATATTTTTACTCACTTTACTCATGTGCTCGCTTATTAATTACTAGCTGTGCCCCGCGATTTCAGCCGCGTTATCTCGCGACATGACACCTCACCTAAAGTGAAAGTTACAGACTATATGCGTCACACAGTTGGGCACAGGCGTCCTCTCACTTGTGAGAGGATTTTAGGGCAAGGAAGTGTCCGCAAGGAAATTGGCGTAGTTATAATATGCTACGGGAATACAGAAGTGAGTTTTTCGAAATTACACTAATATGCAGAATTGTGTTATGCGTAAGTAGATTTTATCATTCGAGTGTGAGTCATCTAGCAACACCTATCACTCTTTTTATCGGTCATGTCGTCCATTTTGTATCGTTATGAAGGGTAAATTGTCTTGAAATCAGAATTGCGTTACTTATGTACTTATTACTTTTTACATTTTTCAAGAGAGCAAAGCTTAATTTTAACTTTGAGATTGATTAAATAATGTTAAATTTCATGATCTTCTTTCAATTTTAGGGATAAAGTCTATAAGAGGTATTTGATTCGTATCATTCGCCCACTCAATATTGATTGGCAGCATAATATATACATATATATTATGCTGCTATCCGTGTATACAATCAGTTACCACCAGCTATTAAACAATTAAATGGAAATATGTTTAAAACAAAATTAAAGAAATTGTTAATTGAAAATGTTTTTTACAATCTCAATGAGTTTTTTTTAATAAAATTAATGTTAATAGGTAGTAAATTTTAAATTTATTTTTTTAATTGTTGCATATCCGAAATGGGTAAACTGTTGAGCCTAAAACTATACGTTTTTGTACTAAGATCATATTGTACACGGTTATGAAATAAATGTATCTTTATCTTTGCCTCGTGTAGAGGCGAAACACGCGTAGTGGTGTTGGTAGTAGTGGTGTTGGGATTAGTCCTCACGGGTAACAACGCATCTGCATTTTGATTCATAATCGAGGATACATGTAGATGCCTCAGCAACCACTTAACTTTAGGTGGACTGTGTGCTCGTTTGTTCCCATAACCTATAAAAAATGTATTCCTTTATTTTATATTTTGTATATGAGATATCCATGTTTTGATGTGCAATTAAAAGTGAAATAAAGCCTGTTTAATATAATATACAAACTTAAAAATTTAATGAATTACGGTCGAACTTAAACCTTGAATCTGAATGACAGGGTGAGAAATTGCGTGATAAGAGATAAATGTGGTATGCAAGATGATGTTGTGACCAGGATTAAGAAAGGAATGCTTCGGTGGTTTGGTCACGTAGAAAGAATGAATGAGGAAAGAGTGACAAAGCAAATTTATATGGCAGATGTGAACGGCAGAGTCGGGAAGGGACGCCCTAGAAAAAAGTTTATCGACCAAATTGGCGATATTTTGAAAATGGGCCACGAGCATGTATGCGTAGATATATGGATGTAAAGGAGGCGAAAGAGGTATGTCAGGATCGTGTCAAATGGAAGTCCGTAGTCTCTGCCTACCCCTCTGGGTGACAGGCGTGAGTGTTTATGATGATTATGATGATGATCAAACTTAAACCACTTGGCGAACTAGCAGAGATAAAAACTTAACCTAACCTACATCGGATAACCAAAACAAGTTGATAAAATTATTGCTATCCCGATTTTACCGAAACATTTAAAACATAATTCGTTATTACGTACTCACGTCATCACACACTTATCAAGAGAACTGTTTTAATTAGAAGAACCGAATAAGCGTCATTAAGCACAAAACGGTACGGTGTATTATATTTATAAATTAATGATGAGCGTACGTACTACTATTCTCACTTGACGAATAAGCCTTTGCATGTATCATTTTACTACCGAGCCTACGATAGCCGTTGAATGTCAGAGTTTATTATATGTCTGTACGTTAGCCATTTCCAAAACGATTACATTATAACATAATAATGATGCACTTATTTTGCAAAAATTACATTAGGTCATTGATCTTAGGTAGTTCATGTTTAATTTCTTTTTTATAGTATAAGGGTGACATGCGAGCACACAGCGCACCCAATGGCAAGTAGATTCAAATCGGGCGAGAGGACATAATGATAAAGAAAAATGAACTTTATTTCAAGCATGTTAAAGTCTTTGCGTTCGTGGATTTGTACTGTGACTACAACACTCTTCCGGAATTAGTATAACTAATTTGATAAATAATCAATGCATAAAAATGTTTAAATAAAAATTCAGTGTATGTATTATGATTATAACATAATATACTAATTGGGGTGTCTGAGGGTGTGCGTTAATTACGTTACATATTGTATACATTTATTATAAATTAAAAAAATCATAGACTTATTTAGTTTCCGCTTTCATTAACAGCAAAAAGATTGGTGACGAAAAAAACCCCCCCCCCGGCGGGGGGGAGCCCCAGGGGGCCCCCCACCAAAAAAAAAAAAAAAAAAATAAAAAAAATTCCCCCCCCCCTTTTTAAATATAGGGTGCGTTGTTGAACAGTGAACCAACCTTTTTTCTAAGTCATATAACTTTTTAGAAATTAAAGTAAAGTTTCGTTTTGGTGTCATGGTTTAGGCAATTTTACACAGTTTCTCATATTCAGTTTACAGAAAGCCAGAGAAACGAATAAAGACCGTAAATAAAGTTTAAAAATAAAATAAAAATTTGCTCACTGTGTACTATAGGTACTTTGTAGTATTTTAATAATATTTGTTTGTGTTCTTCAGTAAACACTTTATTAATATCATACTTCGGTTCGAGTGATATATTATCACCATGTTCACGTTTTTTGTAACGCAACGGCGCAATGTAGGGTAGGGAATTTTACTGATTTTTGCCGCCGTCCTAATGGAGCTACCATTTTCTATCATTAGTAATGCTGACATCATATCGTCTTATTGTGTTTTCCAATTTTTCTTTCCATATTTCTTGGCCTTGACATCCTAAATCAATCCAAAATATTATTGATTTTCAGTATAACACTATCATTGAACAGAGAACCAGGATCGTAAGGTACACGGTGAACCGATTCACTATGTACTATGCGAACCTGGTTCACTGCTCAATACACACACTATTCAACTTATAATATTAAAAAAAAAGTATAGGCTGAATAGTCACGAAGCAGTATGCTTATAAAACGTCTAAAACTACAACAATATCGACACCATAAAGCTTTTGGTGCTAGAATTAATAACAAAATATATAAAAATCGAGACACTTACGTGAGAATTCTATGTTTTTTTGGCGAGAAACAAACAAACCGCTGTCACACCTTACGCTCAAGCCGCAGCCACCGGCTAACTACGGGAGAGGGGAAGGGTGATTACGAGAAAAGTTTTAACACGATCGGTCGAATTGGCAACCTTGCAGTTTTTTCAATATGGTGGTGGTTCAATGTTCCTGGTTGGTTCACTGTTCAACTACGCACCAACATTGTGTCAAAACATCTGATAGAAAAGACAGTAATATCTGATGATACGAAGCTTAAACTTCTACAACTCGAAGTTCCGCTTATTTTGAACGTATGCAGGTGACTTAATAAAACGTCGTTAGATGCAACGG